GCATAAACAATGTTATGATATAATTATTATGAATAAAGAGATAGGATCCCGAATGTGGTTTCAAGAATTATAATTAGCTTTATTAAAAAGTAACTTATCGAGACACACAAGATCAATTAGCAAACAATGACAGGGAGTTGTATTGCCTCGTTTTTCTTTTTTTCTCATTTAAATATATTTTCAAACATAACGTGATGACTTTTCTTTCTTCCTTTTCATCATATAAAATTGCAGGTGTGGTTACATTTCTTTTTTTCCCTTCCTTAGGTAATCATACAATTTTGAAATTACAGCAAAAACTTGGGAGCTGGTTGATAAGTTCACTCTATGTTATAATAACACAGTGAACATAGATTTGATATCTTATGGAATTGAGATGGTTCATCAGCAGTGTGTGGATCTGGGCATAGTTTTGTTTCTTCGCAATACTACACTGAACTTTTTTAAAATTCTCCTATTTAACAAACTTTCAACACTAAGTAAGTGTGTTAGTTTTTCAATTACATATTCTTTACAGATGTCACTACAACAATTCTTCGTTTGCTTTTTATGTGCGTTAACACGTAAAAAAAGAGAACATACATCGAAGATGAGATCAAAGGGAATACATGTTCTCCTGGACATTTAATTTGTATCATAATCAAAGTGTATGTGATTAATTCTGTCCCGCTTCTGCTCGCTCACTCGCTCGCTCGCTCTCTCTCTCTCTCTCTCTCTTTCTTGATGTAATTTGCTTTTTTAATGTTAAAGGGCAACGTTTTCTGTTAAACTTTTACAATAATGTTGCGTATTATAAAAATGACTCGTGAAATCTTATAAAAAGAACCATGCAAGTCATATACTTGTGACGATATTTAATAATCAGTCTAAAATTTGAACAATGTAGCAACGTTGTGATAATCAAATACTGCATGAAAAATCGTTTGAAGATTGCACTATATATAAATAGTATAATATATATATGTATAATCTATATTTTATCATATATATAAGTACCGTAATATTGGGTATTGGGTGTTACATAAAGCATAGAAATTTAATGAGCTGAATATCTATTCCTTTCTTTTCTTCAGGAAAGAAAAATAAAACAAAAAAAAGCAATTGGAAATAAAGAAAGAAAGAAGAAAAAAATTCCCTAAGTGTATATTGCCTTGATAACAATACATTTTGCAAAATTTCGTGTGTACTATATATAAAAAAAAAAAAATTAAATTATGACAATGACTCGATTTGAATATTATGCAACATCTTACTTAGCACTGTGTAAATATAAATAATCGTTAGGTTTAAATTCACGATCAATGCGACGATTAAGCTTTCTTTCTTGTCAGCCTCCAATCCTCGATTTGTTTACAGAAGTGTCACAGAATTCAAACAAATTGAATTGTTGATGATTTTGTTGATAAAACTTGTTTTCCGCACCATCACAGAATCAAGGGACAATTTACAACATTATGTAAAATAATCGCAGCAATCAATCAAGGTTTGGCTTACATTCATTATTGAAGACTACTGGATACAGTTTTCCTCAAGCATAATAAGACAATAAAAACCATACATGAATTTGTATGAATGTTACATTATACTTAGGTGCATTTAGTGTATTAAACACTAAAAATTTATTAATTTAAAATCGCCAGTATTGAACTCAACTTTGCATTATATATACCTAATATAAAACAAGAACACAACAAATTTTCTGGCATACACAATACATTTTAACATGTAAGATCGTATGTCAATTGGTTTTCTTTCACTTTTTTTTTCATTTCTTCTCATTCAATTAATCATC